AAAAACGTATGTCCGAACACGCGTTAAGGAAAAATATAAAAAGTAATATTTCGCAACTTTGACGACGTAGTATGCTTCTTTAGACATTTTGAAGCAATTTTTGTTGAATAAGTTATTCATTTTCTTGCCTATTAAGCCCAGAAAATCAATTTTTATTTTTTCAGTTTAGTTCGCAGTTTCGCCGCTAGATGGACGCCAATTTTTTAGTCCATGAAATGGGCTATTTTGCTATTTTTCTTAATAATTGTCCTAGCGGTCTATAATTACATTCGTTCGATTCCGTAGGCGATAAGGAACGATTTGTATATCTCAGAATTTCGGAAAAGTCCCTATTTTTTGAGAAAATCGAAATTTTAGTTTTTCGTAGTTCCGTCGCTCGCCGCTAGATGGCGCCACCTGTACCGTTTTGGACCGAATTCGACAAAAATTGATTTCCTGGCTTTATTAGGCATCAAAACGCATCAAACCCTAATAGAAATTTGTTTCTAAATACCTCAGGAACCATACTACGTCGACAAAGTGCCGAAATATTCATTTTTTTATTTTCCTTATATGCGTGTTCGGACCCTCACTTTTCAGGATCAGTTTTTTCGGTGATTATTCGTGGCAAGTCCGATTTAAATTCTTTTTTTCTATGTCCATCTGGATGTACATACGCATATGCATGCAAAATTTGACGAGAATTGGTTGAGCGGTGCAAAAGAAAAACGCGGACAAAGAAGTTGCAAAGTCAAGTATAAGAGCTTCGCTCGCCTTCGGCTCGCTCGCTCAATGAGTAGACATAAGTAAATACATACAATTTTTTAATATGCAGTTATGCAGCTTACATTATACAGCTCATGAATTTGTTCGTGTTTTTTTCGGGTGTAACAAATACTGTTTATTGACAAGAAAAGGTAATACAAAAAGCATATTTGTTTCATTAAATATAAAGTAGCTAAACAGTATGAAAATATTTGCTTCATATCTCTAACAAACGAATTATAAACGTATACAAATTTACTGTAAACGACGAGACGATTGTTTTAAACTTTACCAATACCAGCTAATTCTTTAATCTGAGTTATTAAATGATTATTATATAATTTATAATCCAAAGGATTTACCGCAACGCATGTTGCCTTTAACCTGTTCTCATCCTGGAAATAATAATTGCTTGCATTAGCATGTAAATGATTACAACAGCATAATTTCTAAGACACTTAGACGAATGAACTTACACTGAACGTTTCTAATTTAACACGAATCTTAAATAGAAAACTTTTAAACGTTGCATCTGCAAATTTTTCAAGATAAGCATCGTTATCATTTTCCTGCAATTCTCCAAGTTCTTGAGCAGTGATACCCAGTATCTTTTCTGCTTCTTCGCTAAACGCTGTAGCCCACTGATTGTCCGTCCAATCAGCTAAACTTAACTAAAAAGTTATAACATCAATAATTTCACAATCACTACGAAAATATAAAAAAAATTATTTTATACTCACACTTGCAAGTAAACGATATCTATAGTTAGGATATTCTTTATCACATTTTTCACACCGGTACATATCATTTGCTTGATCGATTAACTGTAAGGTACGATGTTTTAATCAAACGATTCTCCATACATTATCAAATAAATATACATTACCTTCTTTTTACAACTTTCAGAAGGGCAAGATTTATAAACAGCATTTTCAATTCGTATCATGTTAATCGTGGCTTTTACCATATACATTTCAGGACCTTTGAAACCCAGTTCCATTTCTCTTGCTTCTTTGAAAGTAAGCCACGGTCCACTTATATTGCCTCCACCACCAAATGTTCTTGAAATTGACTTGGCTTCTTCATTATGGCCAGTTGCATTAAACCAACCATGTAACCTGGATTAAAACAAAAAAATTCCAACAAGAATTTCTTTAAACATATTTTTGGACGACTTGGTTAAAAGTTATATACCTATGTGCTTCTGGGATATCTGGGTTTATTTGAATAACTGTAGAACTGAGAGATGATAGATTTTTTCCTCCATTGAATTCGCCAACACGAGCTCCTTTAACAGCTATAACTGGATTGTTACTTCCATCAAACTCTTCAGCTTCCTTTCCCCACAGTGTAAAACATACCTAAACATTTATTTACAGTTACTCGAATATTGGACTTAAACAAATTTCTAATATTCTTATGAGCCAACAAAGTTCTTACCATGGTACTACTTTGATCAACGAGAAAAATATCTCTTTTCTTCATTTCTCTACCTGTGTTACGTGATGTTAGCAGTTGCAAATCGGCACAAGATTTAACAATAGCTATCACATCTATAATAAACACCATTATCAATACAGTATATGCAACATTTAATTATATATATATTGTGTGTGTATGTGCATGTAAATACCTATATATTCATTCTTTTCTTTCGTTTCCACGTCGCTTATTGGTTGAAAATTAAATTGAAGAGTAGGAATCTCATTTCCACCATCATGACAAGGAATGATTTCTGTATCACCCGTTAAAGTCATCTCATAATCATTTTTTAAATGATTGAATTGTTTATTTGCTGTTTTTAAAGTGGCTCTAGAAATATAGTAAACTTTTCCAACCTAAAACAAATTTACATATAATATTATTTTTAAATAACATTTATATATACTGCATACCTCAAGCATGTCGTAAAATTTATCGCACTGATCTCTGAATGCCGTGCATCTAATCTCTCCACTTTCATCAACAAGATCCATGGAAAATAGTTTTCCTTCTCCACGGGAATTACTCCATGTTCTTATATCAGATTTACTAAGAACTCTAGCTTTTATAACCCACCTATAAAAATTATTATTTAAAATTGTATACTGCTAAGATAAAATATAATTTAATTTACCTATTTTGGTAAGGACTCAGTGCAACAATTGGAGTTGTTGATATGTCACTGGTGGAAGACTGATGAGTATTTTGCTTTGGCATCAAAACATCTGTTGAATAATAATGTTCATAACTTATCATAATCTACGATCATAAATTATCACATAAAGTTAACATTTATTACCACTTCGTTGTTGAGGAGGAGCTGGTGCTGAGGCAGGTGTAGAATCACTTTCAGACTCAGCATTTGTTGGATTTCCAATTTTATGACCAACTTCATTACCACGTACTTTTACATCGATATTTAATATTACCATTACACGCCTAAGGAATATAAAATATGATAAATTACTTTTATGAGTCTTACAATAAAATAAGAATTTATAGTAAAATTATATACTTTTGTTTCCCAGCATTGTGTACCATACTTATTGCGTATCTATTTATTTGACAAATAGAAAATTCAGTCAGAATGTTGTCTGTTATCATTGAGTTTAACTGAGTAGCCAGCATTGTGAATGAGTTTATTCTTTTTCCATCAGACACAAGTAGTCTATAACGTTCTCCACTACTTGAACTTGCCAATTTCTTATGACCCTAAAAAATAATAAGTAGTTATCAATTTATGAAATCTGACATGTATTTCTATTATTTCATCACACTGTGTAAAATATGTAACTTGCATACCAATATTTGCAGTATTGGTTTCTCAACATCAATACCGTTCATTATTTTCTGTAAAATACAAACAGTGTTAAATATAGTACTTAAATATAAACAATATAATGTATAATTTATCTTGAAACCCACATCTAACGCTCCTTCAGTAAGGGAATACATTTTGGACAATAAGAAAAACACGCAATCTTATGAAAAATAATTGTTCAACACAGGTCAAATCACAATGATGGATTCCGAATTTTCTGCAACGCAAAAATTTCCCGGTCTTTTCTTGCAAGAATATCGCCGAAAAATATATAAAACTAAGAGACAACAGAAATTATTCATATTACTGCTAACTTCAGTAGGTTCCCTATTTCGCTTTAATCAAGTGATAAAGAAAATTCGCGCCAATCATTATCTAAAACAGAAAATTACTAGATCACTTCTTCAGAAGTGTAAAGAAGTTACTTGCTATATTCTTAGTTTATGGCATAAGTTATTGGTTCGTGCCTCGTGCTTATCGTTGCATACAACCATTTTGTGAGCGTACCGGTAGGAAACTGTTGGACGGTTTCTTGTTTCAGAAGTTAAAATGAACGGAATTATAAGGAATACGTTACGATCATCAGTGATCAGAAATTTCTTTTCGTCAACTTCAAGCATAGGAACAAATAATCAATTAAGAACATTATGGAATGCTTGTTCTCGACAAAACCAAGCTATACCTCTTGCTTCGACGAAATCGTTTGAACACCGAAATACTCGTTGTAATTACGATTGTTGCAGAGGTGCCCATACCAAAGGTATATTTAGTTCTTCGTAAACTTATCTCATTAAAATTGATAAAATATATTTCGTAGACTTCGGTAATTCATTATTTTATCTTCATTTGCGTTATAATGTCTAATCATGAGGGTGCAACATATACAGACACTCGTGTTGAAAATCGTCCATTGCAGTTAAATATGTACTAGTCTATATAATATTCTAAATACGGATAAAATACGTTTATTATAAGTTTCAAACTATTTTGCATATATAATTGAAATATAAAATCGATGGGTATAAAGTTTTATACAAAAGTACAACATACAATAAATCTTGTCACAAAAAAGTGATTACATTATTCAACAGCATTGAAACAGTATTATTTATTCATACAAATATATATTTAACTTGCAATAAATGATTTTTACTCTTATTGACTATAGTCATAATCATCATTTTGTTTTCTACATTTTTTTATAATAGCTGAGAAGGAACTGGTAGAGTTTTTAGCAGAAGAAATTATCGCGGAAAAGAAAGCTCAAAAATTGAAAACTATTCCCACCGAATTAGATGGATTTAAGGTGTCCCTTAATGGATCACAAGTTACTTTGGAGAAAAAACAAGAGAATGAAACGTAAGTTTAAATGAATTGATATTTCACGGATATTTAACTTTATCTTTTTAAACAACCTTCATTACAGTTTAAAAAATAAATGACAAATGCTAATTCAAGTTTAGGAAGATGTCTTTACTAATACATATTTAATTACTCTTTTTAGAGTTAAAATTTCATTCGATATAAATCATTCAGTTAGTTCTGAAACTCAACCTGATCTTGAAATGACAAGTGATAATCCAGACCTTGGTGATATAAAAAGTAAACCAGACTTCACAGTGAATGTAGTAAGAGGAAATCAAACTCTTAAATTCACTTGTAGTTTTAATAGTGAACCAGGTGCATCAGGTGCTAATGAGAATTACAGTAAATATTCTATTATAGTTAATAACAGGCCTTCTTGAGTATGAGAATGCCTGTTTTATAACAATATATTCAACCTAATTATATCAGTATTTTTCTTATGCATATTTTCATTTTGATTTTAGATGACATTTTCAGTATTGATGAAATTAGTCTGTACACAGGAGAGTGTACTGATAATGTGTACATTGCAGAGGGTGCAATCATTGATGGTGTAAGTAACACATGAAGCAGTCTTTTTAAGTCAAACATACATATGAACAATTATAACCAAAGAGTTGAGTACAGATTGGTGTATTTTATAACCATTTTGAATATTAATCTTTGGGAAAGTAAAACATTTTCTTTTTTACATTGATTTTGTTAGGCAAAATCACTAAAATAAGAGAATGGGACATCTTTTTTCTATAAATATTCTTCACAAATTTAATGCATATGCATCTACATTAAGTTCATTCTATCTTTTTTTTCAGTACCTTTATGATCTGCTTATGAATTATCTCGAAGAGAAAGGTGTTTCAAACGAACTTGCCGAGAAATTAGTCGAGCTTAGTACGAGTTACGAACATACCGCGTATGTTAGTTTACTGGAAGGCTTATCAAATTTCACATCCAAAAATTAGTTACCTGTTAATTTTAATTCCGATTGTATATTTTTAATTATTTAGGTATAACATGTAAGAATATCTTTATAATAAATGTATGTAATAATTAATTGTATGCATTTTGCTGAGCAGCTCTATTCAAAATAAATACAACTTATTACATCCCTATTCTCTTGATATTTTTATAAATAAAAAATATATAATTCCATTTTTTTTATTTTCTTAATGATCTTGTTACATAATGTACAAGGGAGTGGCAATATATTACCTAAAAATATAAATGCGTGCTGATGTAATATGTGACAATATAATACGTGATAGTGTAGCGCGTGGTGATATAACGCGTGGCAATATGACAGAATAGTGAGGCAGTAAGATGCCTCAAGATCTTACACCGTGATCAAGAACCATGCAAACTAAGACTGCTCGCTTAAATAAATAGAATAATAAGATTTGAGAAAAATGGGTCAAATCAAATTAAATTGTAATATGTAATGAGTACTTCATATTTGCCAACTGTGCTAAGTTGCAATATCGTTCAAGTGATGAAACAATGGCGTAAGTAAGCAGTAAGTTTGAATAAACGGGTTATAAAAGATTATCGTCGATTTGGTAAACTATTTCGACGATCAAAAAGAAATGTCGAACCGTGATCCGGACAATTTAATGGCCACGAACGATGAGAATTTCGATTACTTGTTCAAGATTGTGCTTATCGGGGATTGTGGTACAGGAAAGACCTGTGTTGTTCAGAGATTTCGATCTGGTACATTTATCGAGAGGCATGGAAACACAATTGGTGTTGACTTTTCTATGAAAACTGTATTAATTGATGATAAAAAGATTAAGGTATGTTTGCTTGTTCTTCGCTTTCCAATGATTTAAAGATTTTCAATTTTATTGCAGATTAACCTAAAAGTAATTTACGTAGAAATGTGTTATAAATTTACGACTTTTATAATAATATTATCTTAAAAATTATAATTTGACTGTAACAATAAGTGTAAAATGAAACTTGTTGGGAAGAGATTTTTATAGTATACGAAGTATGTCACAAGCGATTATTTACCGTGATTATACCAAAATGAATATGTATACTAATTATTGGCTGTTTGATTTTCTGTTATTTATAATGATATAATTCTTGTCTTTGTTTCCAAGACAACATACATGTTACTAACATTATTGTAGCACGTTTTCAATTAGTTATAAAGTATTTTACTTTTTTCACAGTTACAAATATGGGATACAGCTGGTCAAGAAAGATTTCGTACAATAACTCAAAGTTATTACAGATCAGCTAATGGTGTTATTGTTGGTATGAGAAAATACATTGTCTTGCTTTTATGCATAAGTAATTTTTAATTATATTAATTACCACTGTAATAACTTGTGCATATTTTAGTTTATGATATTACAAAGAGATCTACATTCTTAAGTTTACAACATTGGGTTGAAGAAGTACGAAGGTACACTTCTTCACATGTATTATTAGTCTTAGTTGGTAAGATACTTCTATATATCTTATTAAATTTTGATACAAATGTCACATATTAACAATTATAATACTTGTAGGTAATAAATGTGATTTAGAAGATTTACGAGAAGTTGAAAAGGAAGAAGCAGAAGCTCTCTGTCAGTATCTTCCTGAAGTGTTACAAGTAGTGGAAACATCAGCCAAAGAAAATACCAACATAGATTCTATATTCTTTTACCTGGCATCAGAACTCAAAGTAACTATATAATTTTTTTTCAAAAGTACATTATCAAGTATTGTAAAAATAAACACATTATCTTTGTAATGCAAGAAGTATACACACTTTGATTTGTTTTTAGAGGCGACATGAAAATCGCCAAATTAATGCAAATGAGGATGAAGTTGTTAGACTTGGTACAGGACGAAAATTATCTTCCTGTTCAAATTGTTCATATAAAATATTTTAAACAATGAAGGAACAGTAAACAAATGGTATACATATCATGCTCAAATTAAAATTTTTATGTAAAATGGGGAAACAATTTAATATTTTTGTAATAACTCAAATAATGTGATACGGGAACGAAATTCAATTAACACATTGTTGATATTCATGGTATCAAACCAGTATTTTCTATGATTGATTAATAAGAAAATAAGAGTTTATTACTGATTTTATATTAATTAGGAGCAATTTTATCAGGGATCTACAATCGAGTATTTTAACTTATACATTTGTAAATACAAAAACTCTTAGTCTTTATCTATTTTATGACAATAATGTACTTCAGCAGTTTAGAAATGTAATTAGTAGCAAATGCACATATTTATTTATAATGAAGTGAATCTCAAAATCTTATAGAGAAATAATATATTAATATATTTTTTTAAATAAATATTTTAGTATTGTACTATTTTGTAATGTTGTTGTAACATTGAAATGATTCTAATAAAATATGAATACAATTATGTCTTTATCATTAGCCATATTTTTTGACATTTCAATATTTTGCACAAATTTATTATACAACTGGTTAAAGTCCAACAACTATTTATTAGTTCTGTATAAATTTTCTAAAAACAAAACAATTTTCTTGCAAACTCATTGTACATATATATTTCATTTATTTTAACAAAATTTAACTATTTAAATATAATTACAATATTATATTTGATATATAAATTAATTCATATGCTTTGCAAATTAAATCAAAATACTGAGTTTCTCACATATACATGACCTTTTTTCATTTTTTTATATGATCTAACATATGTATGAATCTATAAACATAATTAATTCTAAAGTAAATTCATTTATAAGGCACGCTTTTTAACAATTTTGTTAGTTACTTATATACATGTAAAACTCTCTTTTATTTTCATCTTTTATTGATTATTTTAATACTTATTTGATAAATAAATTATTAGCCAATATAAGCTTTACATTAATATAACATGATATTTATTTGTACATCAACATATCCAATATAAAAAAGTATGTTGATTGCAACACTTCCTTTTTATTGAGACTGTAAAATATACATAATACATACATTTAGAAATGTACATGAAAAACTATTATAATATAACAGAGACTATTTACTGTAAATTGCACACTTTAGCCATTATAAAATTTATGTTTTTATATGTATATTAAAAATAATTTATTTCAATAACTTTTTTATATTGGTACAAATCTAAAAATGAAAATAATTACATTAAATTTAACGCATTTTAATAAAATTTTATATGAATTATTGGCATTAAAACTATATTCATTTATTTCTAAATATTTAAGTTGTAATTATTGAGTAGTTAATTCTTAAATTATACAAATAGTTGCATTTTTTGAAGATTTTTATTCAACAATTAATGAGGCCCCAAATTATTTCTTTGTTATAACATTAAATAGATTAGCTACTAATAAGCTAAATATATAAAACTATCACAAATTTCATACCCGTTCATAAGTTCTTCTATATTTTTCATCCACTTGTACAAGATAATATGTTCCAGGGAACATATTAGTAATACTACTTTGGGGACTAAATGGTACAGTATGACAGTGTTGTTCACGCCATTCTAATATTTCTGTATAATCTGCTGGAGAAACTTTTTGACGGGACTCTAGTTCTTGTTTAATATATGATAGAGATGAAATAATTTTCATTAAATCAGATCCATCCTTTGTATCTTTTGTTATTGTTAACGAATACATTGTAGAACAAAATCCTGAACCATATGAAAATATGCCAATTTTGGAACCTGCCAATTCTTCCACTGGTTTGTTAATAAGTAAAGAAGCCAATCCAGAATATACAGATGGAGTGTACATATTTCCTACTTGACTTGATATTAATAAAGAAGGTTGAGTTTTTTTATTAAAATCTGCTTTACTCAAATTCATAAATGCTTTTTCAATATCTCTATCGAAATAACTATCTTCAAGTTTAATGTCATGGAACTTCCCTAATTCTGGATACTTTTTAAGTACTTCTTCTTTGGATGCATTTAAGAAATCATTAAAAGCTAATCTAGCATAAGACTTTTGTACTAATTTACAGTATGGAGAATGAAATAAAAATGAATCAAAATTATTTAAAGTCACAGATTCATTGTACTTATTCTTTGCTTTTTTACAATAAGTCTGATAGCAATTATCCAAAGCACTAAGATAACACTGAATTGACAATTGTCCATCTACAACAGGATATTCTGATTTTAGATTTGGTTTGTAAAAGTCGTATGCATGTTTCATACATGATGACCTTACTCCACGATCAATTACTAAAGGTGCATTTGGTCCAATTACCATTGCTATGGCTCCAGCACCACCTGTTGGTCTAGCAGCTCCGGTAGAATATACAGCATTGTCAGCAGCCACAACTAAAGCTAATCTACCGTCCCAAGCACTGCTTTCTACCCAAGATACAGCATTCAAAAGAGCAGCAGTACCTCCATAACATGCATTAGTTGTATCTGCCCCTTCCATGTCTGTGCAACCATCTGGTTCAAATAGTTGCATAAGAACAGATTTTACTGATTTGCTTTTATCTATCACAGTTTCTGTTCCAACTTCTAATCTTCCTATATCTTGTGGCTTTATACTATTCCTATCCATTAATCGATGGACCACAGTTAAACACAAAGAATTAATATCTTCACGGTCATTGCAAAATCCCATCCTACATTGACCTAGACCAATGGTATATTTCCCAGCAGAAACGCCATCAAATTGTTCAAGTTCAGTTTGCTCAACATATTGAGCAGGAAAGTACACTTCCATTGCTTTGATACCCACATCTTTTGGCCACATGATGTACAATGATGATCAAATGATTTTTCTGTGTGATTTAATTATTTTGTTGAGTTACATAAATTTTCAGGCACGTATGATGATTCTCAAAACAGTATACCTATAACAACGTATAGACAAAACGAAATACTTTTACACTTGAAAACGCACGTGATACCGGTCGGTCACTGATTTCGCATCAAACGGCGTTCTTCAAATATTACGGTATTTGTGTAATATAGCTTCCTGACAATTGATGCCGACAATAATTTTATTAAGATATGAATGATATCTTTCAAATTTTCAATACTTCACGACTTTTCTTTCCTCACAGTTCGAGTTTTTAAATTAAGAAAGTATGTACTTCGAGGACAAACACGCTGCCACTGTTAGAAGCTAGCTCAACAAATTCAGGTTAGAAGTGAAACTCATCAGGTGAAAATTACGGTCACCGAATGATTTCCTATCACGTGCTTACAAGCTTGTTTGATTCTTTCTTTTCACCGGCTAAATAATCAGTCCTCTCAAACAAATCAAACTTACAAACTAACATTCCACGAGCAAATGCTGCTCGTCGAGCTGCCGCCGCTTATTCAACTGGTTATACCGCCACTTGGTGGGGATAACAAATTCATTCGATTCTCTTTATGAATATGTGACATATAGCCAGGGCCGTGCGAACGTTTGCAGGGTGAACCTTTAAAATTGTACGAAGTGTGATAAATGTATCGTCACGCATATCTAAAATCACATTACACAGCCACGTGCTGTATAATTGCGTCTTGTACTGTTACATGTTATGCTATTTCGCGGAGTAAGGTCAAATTAACAAATTAAAACTTTGTAAAAACAGTTTACGACAAGTTTATACATTTTTTATTTAGTATGAGGTGATTTGAAGTGTGAAATCAATTTTTTATAAAACAATCTGAGTCTCATTTCAGCCGTGGCTACATAATTTCATCTTGCAAATACTTTTAATATTCCAAATTCTTATAAATGAATATCAAAATTGACACAAAGGAGAATAATATTTAAGAACGTTTTTTGTATTTTGATGCATAGAATTTTTGGTAAATCTTTATTTGGGTTAATCCATACTATTATTAGAAAAAAGAAATTTCATCGACGGTGTTACGAGGATAGCTTCGATTGTGTATCCAAGTTAGGCCGTTCACGTTTGACGTAATATAACGGTACAAATGAAAATAAGCATCGAGTGGAATGAATTTTCGTGAAAGCGAACGGTACCATAGAAAGAAGCAAATGTATACTAGTCGTACGAAATTTATTGTTAAACGATTTCAAGAAATTTTACTTTTCTACGATATACACTCTGGTTTCATGCGAGCGCGTGAATGGAACTTACAAAATATATAACAAAAAACGACACAATTCCCGCCTATAATTAATAAATTCTTCTGTCGTACCTTTCTACTGACATTGTATTTAATTTTTTCTAACGAATGGGATTAACGAAATAATGGGGTATGAAGTAATTATAACTCCGTACTGCAATGCAAATCGCACGTTTATTTATAATAATATAAATAAACTTTTTGGATATATTTATTGAGAAAGAGTAATGTGTCAATTTTTAAATACATTTGCATTGAACATTTCCATAACTGAAACATAAATATTAATTATTCTTATAGCTGGACAATTATTCACATACTATTAACTAAAAAATTAATGTGTTGATTTCATTAAGGTTGATCAATTTTTCAGTTGAAACGTTTTAAGCAGAAATAAATCTCAAAGGAAATATAAAGACTTGACCCTTTGACGTTTTCGTTGAACATCGTTGAAAACAAATTTAAATATCGCGTGAATTATATATGACTACCTCGTATTTGAATTTAAAAGAGCACTACACAATGAAATTTTGTATTTAGGCAATGAATAGAATATAAAGGAAGATATTTTTAACTTTACCTTTCGAATTTTTAACGAGATAAGTATTTTCGGTGTTATGACACGGTGAAATGGTATTTGATCGCACCTTCCAACCCATTAAGTCCAAATATTTAAAATAGTTCCGGGTTTCTTCTCGCGAAGTATTCCAACGCTATTTAATAATTAAAAAAAAATCGAACATTTAAACATGAGACTTGGGGGCCAAAACGGAGCAACAGGTCTGCTGATTTTGTATATAATTTACTGAATACATTATTTTGAAGTATAATAATAAGAATTATAATAATGTACTAATCGTGGTTTCGTGAATATTGTTATTATTACGTGTTCTACAAGATAGCGGCGGCAGCTTTTGTTTTCGTCTGGCACGGCAAAATATAATTTTTCGTTTTTTTTTCTTTTTAATTTATTTTCGCCTTAGTCTTTCCTTTTCTTTGCTGTTCTTGTTCTGTTCTGTTTTTTTTGACACACCGATACATGTCGATTCGCGCGATCCATGACGATTAATAACTATTTTAATATCGTAAGCATCACTGATTAAAGTACACATACATACAGTAATCGATACACTTCTGTTTCGACAATTTTCCATATCTTACACAGCTACACGATATAACACTGAAACGTACAAACAGCTTCACTCTGTAAACTAAGCATAATTTGTATATTGGTTTCTCTCTTATTTCCGTCCTTCTTTATAGTTGAATTCATGAGAGAATTCGTACAAAGAGTTTTTTCGGTGCATCTCTGTTTGGTTTAGCATCCTATCAAGGGTGCTCTTAACCTGGAGTGGGAAGTAAAGTTCCAATGCAAAATGCTAAAAGTGTATTTTAATTACAATATATGTCTATGATAGACAATTGTGAATGCAAGGACGCTGTGCACATAAATTCTCAAGTTCTCAAATTTCCTAATATTTAAATCTCCAAGTCTTATTCCCAAATTCCCAAATTTCTAACTTTCTAACAATCTAAGTTTCTAAGTTTCTAAATTTGAAATCTGTGACTCAACGCTGTACGCATCGTAGCAGTATGAGTTCCTCGCCGGCTACTTCTGGTACATGTTCAAAAACTGCCGTGGTGGAATGCTCCCTTATCAAAGACAAACGCACTTTCAAAATTTGCCACAAAGCGAGGCGCTATGAATGTCCAATAATAATAAAAATGCAAAATATTCTGAAAATAATTTTCTCAGGACCTTTTGTCGTTAAAGGAACATCTCTACCACGGGAGTTTTAAAGAGTGTATCAACCTCTGATATTCTCTCATGACTTCAAGTATAAATATAGATACAATCGTTACAACGAGAGATACACTATTCCTTTTCCCTTCACATTCTTTTGTTCTTAAGGAACCACCAGCGTGATTCCTTCAAACGATACGATCCTACGTCTTCAAACTCGTTGCACTCTTCATGTTCGGATTCCCATAAAAAGTAGCTTTTTACCAGCGTTTAAATTAATGTTGAAATTAAGTACACGAACCTCAACGACACATCGATTTCTTGTTTTTGCATACTCTTGGCGAAGATTGCGATATTTATTCCTCGAAGATGATCTTCGTTATATAATCTTTGTACTTCAGATGTATGCGTCTCGACAGTTTCCATTGGAGCGTTTATAAAAAGTGAATGTATTGGATGAATTATCCAAAGATTTCTTTCTTCCGTAAACTCAATTTATCCTTGCTTAAAATATGTGAACGGCGTTTTTTCCCTTTGCTATTTTTAGACAAAAATATCGTAGCCCAGGTGGATGTTATTCGAACTTTAATAATTGAGCTTAACATTATCAGTGCAAAAAAATGCGAATCGTTCGATCGCTACTAAAGTGTCCGGTCCCTAAAAGGTACTCGTTGCTGTTCCGACATCGAAAGCTCAGATTCGAAGCGTCTCTCATCGAACGATCCATTCGAACGCGTCAATACTTCAAAAAGCATGTTCTTTTTTTACGGATTTTCAAGCATGTATAAATTGCTCTACGTATATAACTTTCTCTTATTTTTTTAACACGCTTTTCGAATTATTGACGAGATTTGTTTGAGCTTCGCAGCGAATTATCGGTGACGGCAAAGATCGTGTTGGTGTGTTTCAGCTAGAAAAACTGCGTACAAAATAGGAATGTAACACGTAGTTCTTCCCGACAAGTTGACATGAAAGTTCCTTTTTCTTCTGATTCACGTTTCAAGGAAATCGTACGAATCTTCTTACTTTACAATATTCGAAGATCACGTATTAGCGTATTATATAAAATGCTTATTTCCTTGACTTGGCACACAATTACCTTAGAAATACGGATCCAAGACTGGGCAAACGATTTTTCTACTACGAAGATCCTGATCCGACACAGAAAACTCTCGTAGGTAGGACTTCGTATTAACCCACTAATACCCAACAGTTTGCTACGCCTTTTACGGCCACAAACTTCTTCATTTATAATTATGAGCAATACTGTATACTACTAAAACCATCAACAGCGAACTTTCGTCATATTGCCATGCGCTGTATGGCCACGTGTCTACATTACCACGCGTTAGTTCATTATATGCGATATTATACTTGATTTAATTAACTTATACAAAATTCGAAAGGCCCTAAAAGCGCGAAGCCTCAGGGCAAGTTCCTGCATCTATCGGCGATGCAGTTTACTTGCGCATATTTTTGTTTACAATAAGTACTATCTTGAAAATAATATACTTTCGATATTTGGGAATTAATGGGTTAACATAGGCAGTCGGTAAAGAAAAAGGAAGATAAAGTTGAAGGAACTGATGTTTGCCCATTCTTGTTTGCGAATAACAACGTATACTTGACGAATTCGAGACGATGCGTTTATTTTTTTTATAATTATGCATTATCCTGAAGTTCACGCATGGTTTCTTCGATGATTGATTATGATTTCATAGCGAACGAAAGGATGACGCACTGTCTCGAATTAGAACGATCCAACACATTTATTTATACAAATTATTCTTACTCGAATTTGCGTTACTATCGGTACAACTTAAATTTACACGAATTGGACTTATTCTTAAAATCTCCTTGTCTTTATTTATACATAAATATATATTTATATGTATATATGTATATATATGTGTGTGTATATATATAGATATATATATATATGGCCACTGCTTTATTTAAAATCACATTCAACCATCCGTCGTAAAATGACGCGTTGAGTCGTTAAATGAAAAAAAAGCGAATGTAAATGATATATTTTGTGTACGGTGTCCTTTGAAGAAATTATGTAAACATTGAGGAAAAACATGATTAACGTAAACAAATACTTTTTTGTACAATTCTTTTTTTCTATAATTAAATGCATTATTCCTTAACGCCACTTTAAACATGACAGGAAAGAATATTTTAACACTGACACAATTTATTGCTGTCTTTAGACATAAAAACCCTTCTCGCCTAATTAGGTCGATAAACGCATCGCGCGTTTCATTTTTCAAGTGTAGAATTTTTGTAAAAAGAGCTTCTTATTCATTATAATGTGATCCTGCAACAGCGCTCAAATTAACAGTACACGCAATTTCACAAGAGCGATCAAAATTATCAGCATGATTCTAGCATTTTTTTTATAACGAACTTACTTGATCTTTATGGTCTTAACACTGATATTTTTATGATATATTTATATTAATAACTCGTGATACTAAGAAGATTGATATAAATATCAAAGACAACACAAGCACGATGACACGAAATCATGAATATTTATATAAGTATTGAAAAGTAATATAAACAGATAGTAGAAAATGAGAAGTATATAGAAGACAGAAAACAAGATAAGAAGAAACAAATTTAAAGATTTATCATCTCTTCTTTCATCATCCACTTGATCACTCTTGCTAAGGAATTTTGATGTTCCTTGGGATTATGTCTACATTTTGTACAATATCGTAAGTCAAATTGTGCTAGTATAATTTTCTTGGATATTAATAATAGGAAGCGCAAAGAAGCACAGGCGAGAATATGACAGAAGAATCATTCTTTCATCTCACTCCTGCAACTATAATGTTTACGCATCATTAAATGAGGAAGTTGTACAAACGTGGAGCGATATACACAGTATACACATCAACCGCGTGATTTAAGCAACACATATTCATTTTTTGTCTCTTAATTCATCCACTGATCTCCTGAACTACGCTTTATCTTCAAATAATTACAAAAGAATACTATGTTTAAATACAAAAAATCATCGCATATATTTTATAAAGTATTGTGTGTATCAGTCATAATATTGATATAATTTTAAATCATTAAACTAAGATAATTAGATTCAGAGTAGATCAAGAGATTACTAGTAAATTTATTAAATGGAAATACTTTTCAATTTTTCTTAAAAAGATCATATATTGAATATGATTGAATTTAAGAAGAATCGTTGTTAGTTACATTAAGAAACGTTTACTCTTCATGTTGTCTTTATGGAGTTGAATTAGAAGAGTCCTTTCTTCTTGTTCTTCTTATCCTTACCATCAACGGTCCTGAAAAGAATTACAGTGTAAGTAGAAAAGCTCACTGTATTACAACTACTAGATGTCAGCATAACTTACAGTGTGAATGATTTACAAGTTGTAATTATTTATTGCCTTTGCACCATTTTAATTAAGAATACTGATGACTTTCCATACACTACCATCCGCTTATTCAAAATATAAAATTGCTTATAGATCTTAACTACGCATTTTGTAAACAATTAAAATGTATAATTTAACGTTATTACATGAACCTTAATTCTGTTTGGAACATGGAGAGTAATGTGTACGTCCATTTGTAATTGTAGAATAAATACAGCAATGTGAAAAATCAAATCATGCCAAAATCATGCTTTGAGAAATGTATACTTTCATGAGCCACGACCATTAAAGCCGCATGCTTTTCTTCAGTGTTAATGTATTACATTTATGTTGAATATTTCAAGATTATTTTAAACAAATTTCTGTACACGGTTGTTTATACCTGTAATTAGGAACGTCGAGAGATGTCGTCAGACCCACAGGTTTTAAATAAAAAAAAAAACATACATGTCTGTATTTTACCTCCCACCCACTGACTCTGTCTGCAATAACTGTGTTACAATAAATAAGACTAAAGCAATGCTGTATGATCTGAAATGTTCGACATAATTGTTTTTTATCCCAGTCTACAATTCTGATAAGCACGTTAGACATGTATGTATAAAATTATTGTTTACATCATATATATAAAAACAAATGTAATAACATGTAATATACAGTAGGAGGTAACATTGAAAAATGCTACATAAACATACGTGTTGTGTTTTATGTTTTCAAGCTACATATTAGAATAAACGAACGACATTTTTCTGATATTTATTCTTAACACGCTTATTCCCAAGTAGGCAAAGAAATGAGGACGACGAAAATGGTTAGTAAATATTTTAGGAAAGCATTACATTTATTTGCGAACAAAATTCAATGATGAAATTAACAATATAATAGTCATTTTGTAAATAATTACTGGTCATATATAGCATTACCCTTTATCAAGCTGTCTTTGAACTCGATTCAAATTGCTTCTAAGAATCACGTCTGAGGGAAAAAGATTAATAAATTTACAATATATGCAATGGGAATGTCAAGACATGCGAACTGGAATGTTGCAACGAAACAAAAGAAAAAAGAAACAGACAGCTTGCTCAGAGTTTACAATGGCTTTCCATAATACTCTACTAAATGTGATTGTTACTCAACTTCATACGAGGGAGTATGTATGAGTGTAACGCAATGTTGCAGTAAATACGTATGAGTGTGACGCATGTTGCAGTAAATATAAAACAGTGATATAGGAGTATAAAGATTTCTTGCAATTTTTTTTTTTTACATAAAATTTATCAAATTTTGTGCCAAAAATATGCCCCTCTAAATACATCTATACAGGGCTAACATTACTATTGAGTTTCTTTATCGATATGGATATATCTCCCCTTACTCTTTACTCTACAATTTAGCTTCTCGCACAGTCTACTCCTTTTTTATTTTCAAATTAAGAATTCTCTATTAGACGTTAATCGGTTTGCGCTTTATTTTTTAATAAATGAATAAGCAGTATCATAATAGCAGAAATTGTGAGTATTACTAATCGAACTAATGACAGTTCTTTATCCTCCTTTACGAAATCATTAATTTTCCTTGTACGGAATAATAGAAACGAATCGAAATGAGAACACCTGCTGCTTACACTGTAACCGAAATATCTAATACTTTTCACAATATTATTGTAAATAATATGGCTGTTATCTTAACACGTATTTTTAATTATAAAACAAAAATAATCAAAAAAGTGAAAAAAAAAAAGAAAAACGAACATAAAAAATACACAAAGCAATGTGTAATAATTTGTTAAATTCATCGATACGCAGATTGGTATGTTAATGCAATAAAAAAACACGCATTGAATGAATAAAAATGAGATCGATCGTTAAGACTGAAAAGTTTAGTCCTTGGACACAGCGGCGTAGAGGCATTTGTAAGTAAATGTAGACAGATTCTACGATCTACTAAGGATGCTCGGGATGTTGTATGACAAGCTGTATCTGTGTAGGGCTGTCTTGAGGTGATTTGAAACTGGTGTGACGGCGTAGGAGACTTCCTATCCCTCGGGACCCCCTCAACGTACCCCCGCCACCGCCAGATCCCTCGGAAGACACTGATCCCGTCCTAAATTAGGGACACCCCGATATGGTATACACACAAACAAACAAACAAGCGCAAGCATGACATTACATTCGTCCGTAAAGCTTTCTTAAATAATATACTTAATCACATTGCATCACATTCAGTGCTAATTTAAACTAAAGCGAAAATAAAACATTTTCGCAACATGTTTTATGACTTTGCTTTACGTAAACGTGGTACACATCGAACAGAAATGATATACGATCTAAAATATGTAAAACATGATGAGTTTTGTTGATTATTTAAAATGATAATGATACGTGGATACGAATGTATGCGTGAAAGCAACACTTTAGAACATTACATTTATATACAGACTTGGTGTTCGTATATTCCAGCAAAAGGTTGTTAACTAATTGTCTTTAAACGAGGTAAAATTATCAGAATATTGAACGAACAAATGTTGAATTAACGTCAATTAAGTTCAGAAGGATAGTTACGCTGAACATGCTTATTAATAATTATTAGTAATTTCCTGCTATTAGACTAAACTACATGAAACACAGCTTCTACATAATTTTGTTTCATTTTTCAAAATTTTATTACTTGATGATCATCAAAAGATTAGTAGCATTAAATTGTAATAAAATACAATTATATTATAAGCTGTAGTACAAACGCTTTTGTTGCACTTATTTGGCTGAAACGATTTTTTAAAGCAGATTTAAGCACTTTCGAGATACTTCTAACGAAGTAATTTTTACGTATATACAATTTGTTAAAGCGATATGTCCATTTCCTCATTTACGAATCCTTTAAATTTCAAAATACCTTCCTATTCGTGCAAGAAAGCAGTTTTATTTTGTTTCTTGTGTCATAACTTTTTACATAAAAAGAAATGTATAGTACTATGATTATAAAAATATAAACAATTGAAAACAGACATTTTATAATTAAACAATACTTACTCTTTTGAATTTGCTTCTAGACTGCGTCTACGCAATTCTTCAATACTGTGTCCAGTCTGCTGTTCCCATGCCAACTTTTCAGCCTCAAATGCTCGCCTCTTTTCTTCTAATTCTCGCACTTGCTGCTCCAAAGAACGCCGCATCTGTTCGTGCCTTCTTTGTAACTGTGAATTTTTTTTTAATTAAAATAATTTCTATGTGCAAATTAATACTTATAAATATGGGACAGTAAGTAATGCTCACATCTGCTTCTGAATCCTTGAGCTTTTGTTTCTTTTCTCTGACTTTTATTTCAAACACCTGTTCCATATCGATTTCCATTTTCTTCATTTTATTATCATGTTCTCTCTTTTCTTCTTCCAGCTGAGCCAAAGGATTCCTATAAAATACATAAAAAAATGTTCAAAATAAACGAAACTGTTCTGTGTAAAAAGAAACACCTTTTAAACATTTTTCACTACATTTTAGGCTGCGTTTTTAGGGTGCTCTATCTACATATATGGATAACTGTAAGATGAAAAATACAATTTTTTCTGTTCATGGGTTTAATTGGGGAACAGTATTTTATTTAGACTAACAGCAGAGGAAATATTTATTGAGATACATTAGTATGAAATATGTACTAAAAGCAAGCAAATTTATATAACATATCTATAATACTAAAAAAAACTAGCAAAATATTTTTCACAAAATATAATGCAATCTACTTACACAAACTAAATGTTCAATCGGAAGATCAGAGAGTTCACTACCAATATTTAAACAAGTTTTTACTCGGTTATGTACAAACGCGATGTTTTCCTATATAAATTGAAATACTTAACTATTGTCTCTATGCATCCTAATATTTAAACATCTTCAATGACATATACATTTTATTTGCTAGTGAAGTGAACCCCCATTTTTACATTAAAGAAAAAAGCAAAAAAGAAAAAAAAAGAAATGCATCTAAAACTAATATTCAGTAAATAGAAATTGAACAAGGCTTGTGCACACAAAACTATATTACACGATACCGGCCTTATTAAAAGACTTACCACACCGTCATGAAACTGTTCATCACTCCTGGGGGGCACAAACTAACCAATGAGAAATTAGTATTAAAATTCAAGTAAGAAATGTACTATTAAAAAATTGTATTTTCTGGAACACGTTTCCATCTAACCTAATATTATTTGAAGTTAGAATACGTCTTAATAACGTTGCTGACTTTATTTAATTTCCAAAATATGACCTATAAAGGTAATCTGTACCTTTGATAGTTTGCATGCACAAGCTTTCTTTAAATTTTTGTAATAAAAATAAATCAATAAGCTACAAGCAGGTATATTTGCATCGAAAGAAAAAAAGAAAGAAATAAAGAAAATTGATATAATTTTCCTACTTTATGGGACGTTTATGTATTGTTTTATCTTTCATATCTAACTTGAAATCAACAAATACTTATTTTTTAATAGTTTTACATAGAGACATAAACGATTCTTGGACTGAGCTGACAAAATACACTTACTTATTGGAAACTTTTGTTGGTTTTCCATCTACTCCAACACCAGCCAATGTGCGACACCGGAAATTCTCGTAATGTACATTATTTGTTACGTCTTTTAAATCTTGTAAATGCGTTCTGATCACCATATTTCGTAGGGCTATGAAATCGCAATGTTCCAAATTCTCCACTAAACAATCGAAAACAGAAAGCATGATTTCTTCGAAAATTCGATACAAGAATCAATCAGTATCTTTAAGGAATATCAGTTTATCGGAAGTTCGCACCTTCAGCGATGCCCCAAGGATATTTTCTTCCACGAACTTTTCTACCATCCTGCTCGACCACAGTGTTTGCGCCCACCACCGCAAACGGTACTCTATCTCTAAGAAGTTTATGCAATTTACTTTCCTCTTCTTCCTCCACTTCTGGGAATTCGTAGATCTTGATCTTATGTTGCGCTATCTCGTTCAGTATCTACAAAGTATGCACACTTTTAACGCTGAAATATGTTAAGTGTATCACAGAGAGCAAACGTGGAGAGCTTCTCTCTTTATTCTTACTCGCAAGAAGCCTACGTTACAAGTTCAATGTACATACCTGCTTTTTAAAATGAGCACATTCGTCTGGCGTCATTGTGTCAGCCTTCGCGATGACGGGTATGATGTTAACTTTGTCGTGAAGACGCTGCATGAACTCGACGTCCAGCGGCTTCAAGCCATGACCCGAGGGTGCAACGAAGTAGAGACAACAGTGCACTCGACTGTCTGGGATTTGTCGTCTCACTACGCGAGACTCTGCATTCAGGAACTCCTCGTATTTTGATTCGATATACTCGATTACTGGCACCCAGCTGAAACGAACATACTCTAATTACAATGTACATTGCATAAACGTAAATGTGAAGTCTCCCTGTATAGCTCTTTGTTTAAGTATGGACATTGTTGCAACACAAGTGGTGGTGCTACCAGCATGTTATTTTGAGTCACATAACGAGACTCCACACACATTTTTATAACTATAATAGCATAAAATAAATTACCAATTACTATTGTCGACTGCATCACCAAATCCAGGTGTATCAACGACTGTCAAAGTGAGATTAACGCCGTTCTCCTTCAACAATACTTTGCTAGTCTCTACGGCTACAGTTTTTTTAACCCTAAGACTAGGACCAGGATACTCGGCACTGTATATATCGGAGAGGAACATTGAATTGATTAAAGTTGATTTTCCTAATCCCGACTCGCCTAAACAAACGTAAAAAAGGAAGAATTAAAATATTGTTAATTAAGAATAGTAAAATAACATTTCCAATGTTGTTAAGGGATCAACGCAAATTTTCAGAGTTACGTGTATGTCTTTCTTTCTGAGACACTTCCAAATACCAAACAGTACCCTAACCTTTCGGTTGGCATACCTTGAACTGGCTAAAGTGCCGCGCCTTTTCACTCTCAAGGACAAGCGTTTCAATTGCTCTATTTACGGACAAATGACTCTGTTTATACCGGTACTAATAATAGTAGAACCCCTTCTGTACTTTTGAATTTCAAGCTTTCGTTCTGACTATGGTCGCTCGCTATAATTTTCGTACCAACTGAAATCGTTATTACAGAATAATAATTAAACGTATCATTTTAACATAAATGCAAGAGATATAATTCAAGGTTTAGATACATATGTGGAAATAATGTTAATTCAAGAACAAATGACGCGAGTAAAAATGACAACCACTGCCACTTCAAAACAACCCCAGTCCAGTCGGGTGAAAGAGCGTTTGCGCACGTGTTAAGCAGATGGAAGTTCATAAGGCAATATCCTCGACGAAATTGAAATATCAAGCGAAGAAACGAATCTCTTTGTCTCTCGATCTGAAGAACAGGACAAACGGCTATTGTACGTTCATCTGTACAATGGACGTTAATAAAGGAACGCGAAAGGTCATGGTATGCATTTTTTACGGCCCGTTTACGAAAATAAATTCTCTTCAGCAGAAATGGAATACGGTTCTTTGTTTTACGACTGATATTAGTTAGCGATATATACAATGTTCGCTCACAAGATGATCTACAACCTATTGAATCAAAAGATGTATTTCAAGTTTCATACAAATTGTTACAAGAAGTGAAGAATTTCAGTCAATTTGAGAAACAGAGTCCATCTTGTGACGCTTGTACGCTTATGTCCAAAGACTATTTAACCCTTTGCACTCGAGAGGTGACTCTCAGTCACCATTCTATTTAATACAATAATTTTAAATAAGCATTTTTAAGTGGTTCTATAATATGACACGCGTGATGTATAAACATAATGAAATAAACAACAGTACAAATTATTAGTAGAGAAAGAATAACCTCAAGGGAATTCATCTAACTTTTTAACTAAGTTTTAAAATTGCTGTTTGTAAACAGTCAAGTGCAAAGGGTTAATAAACCAGTCGAAAAATGTATCTGATAGCAGAGTATAAAATAGATAAAATAGCTAAACGTAACCTGTTCTAAATCAATTGGTTGTTCAAGGGCAACGAGGAACAAAACCCTCTGCCATAACCCGTTTAACTACTCTGTCACTCTATCTGTTATCTTTACAGCAGGGGGAGAAGTAGCCCTGAGCGGTCAATTGATTTTGAACAAAGAACGGTAAAGTGAGCAGAAATTTGAAAAGATTTGAACCGAAAAGCGAGCAAAGCAACTAACCGACAACCATGAGAGTAAAGTCAAAGCCTTTCTTAACGGCCTTTCTATAAACTTGATTGGGTAGATTCGCGAATCCTACATATCCATCGAGTTCTTTGGGTTTAGTCAACGGCGTTGGTCGTGGATGATGCAGGACAGTGGTCTCTTTGTTGTTCTCGCTCCTATTCGACTCTCGTTTATTGCTGTCCTCCGATGCATCGTTTTGATTCAAAATCCCCGTGGACGGATATAATCGTGGCTTGGAGGTAGGCGCCGTGGATGTGACACTGGTGTACACGGTCGAGGAGGCTGGCGGCGCTGTGTTAGGCGAGGCGAGAGTCGTGGTCGTCGTGGTCGTCGTTGATGACGTGCTCACCGACGGTGGAACCTGTGACGGTGGTTGGGGTGGCGGTACCGATGGTACAGACGGCGATGATATTATTCCGGTGTTGTCGCCTTTGAAGAACAGCTCACGCTTCGCCTGTATCTGAAAACAATAGATGCATGTAGATACAATTTTGTCGATTGAACCAGTGACGGGCAAATGGAGGATACGCAGGTGTACTACCACCTGATAGCTAAAACATTTATGAACATTTCTAATATTCTCGCTGCCTTAATTTGCCGCTCACTGGTCTAAACAAATAAAATCTGCTACCAAACCGTCGTTAAATTTTCAAAGCACGGGTAAATCGCTCAGATGATTATAATTTGCAGCATCAGAAATTTCCACTTCAATGCCGCGGTGGATAATTTCGTATCGAAAATATCTCCCGGTTCGGGAACGAGAAAGTGGTTAACGTATTATCTCATCGATAAATATTCAAACCGTGTCAATAACTACCGTTTATCGGAATATTTATGCGGAAATATTTATAGATCTACGCTACGGATATGTAAATGTGATACTGTTTTTACCCACTTGTTCTCGTTTTAATTTGTGTTTTCCTGTCTTACAAAAAGAATTATACTTTAAAATTTGTATACAACTGTTTCAATAATGTCTACTAAACAATTAACTGTTTTACTAATAATCTAGGAGCTTCAAACTGTAAGAGTCTTCGATTTAAAGTAAGTAGGGTTCCGATCATTGATCTAACAACGCGAATCGTAACCTACTTACGGTTTTTACTCCTCGTTTCTATGTAAATTAGAAAAGCTGTCATTTCAACAGAAGCGCATCGATTGCTTTTTCATTTTGTACGTGAACGAGTGAAGAGATCAACAGACACGTGTAAAAACACAAACAAGATAAAAGATAACACCGCATCGCGGAGCAATGGCTTGCTTCGCTTACGATCGATATGCTTTTACATATAACACCGGCTACAGGCTATGGTCAGCTTCGAATGGCGCAGTGTCTTATGAACTTCCGGCCGGAAGTGGTCGCTGTCCAAACTACTAAATACAGAGCACGATATCGTTGACAACTCCAAGAACATAACCCGCACGAAATATGGGGTTAGCAACAGATGGACCAAGGACTAATGTATCAACTTCCCTGCGGTAGTTCCACCGTGTAATTTCGAGATTCAGCCTCGAGTCAAATTTGAACCTCGTAAAATGCTCGAACGAGAAAAAGGAATCCGTGAAAAAAAAAAATTTTATATTTCGTCTAGCGAACGACACTGAAAAGAACGCGTTCGAAAGAGTTTCCGTTTGAAGCGCGAAGCCTTTTACGATCTTGCAGTATTCTGCGGTGTCAAAGAGAGGCACTCTCGTTGCTAGACGACTTAAAAAAAATGGAAGAAAAAAAAATTTAAAGGAGAAAGAAAAAATTTTCTAGTCCACAGTTTAAAGCATCGGGAAAGAACACGTATGAACATACAGAGAATCATAATGCGCTACCGTATTCCGTTACAAACCAATGGTATCGTGGTGTTGAATATAAATTGAATAGCTGGTTCGGTCTCATTAGGGAACAACGATACGTGCGTAAGGTCAAGGCGGAAACGACATACCAGATTTTCTGTATCGCGTTTCGTTTCCTATTAACGACCGATCGATAATTCCTACATGTTTCGCGTCATTACACGTGTGTGTTCAAATCTATTTGTTCTCGTTTCAGGTGTAATGTTACAAATAATCAGATTTGGATAATAGAATTATGCATTGCGCTTTACTTTTTAATGACGTACCGCGTTATCGATAGCAGCGCTAGTCTGCGAGAGCGAAATACACCGACGGGTTAATACGATTCGACCTGACTAGCCTAAATGCACCCTAATATCGCTCGGTCGTTATGGAAGTTGGTAGTTTCTCGTTTTACCGTCGAAAGAAGCTTTCTCACCTCGTGTCGCGCGGAAGCTGTTTCGACTGAAATGCTTTGCTTACAGAAGCAGAGCAGAGTCAACGAACGAACGATTGCACTTTAGAGGTGTATTACACGTACATGGTGTCGACGACAACGTCGAACCGTACACACGCTGTGTACCGTTGAAAATGAACTATACATACATCTTAGTTTGAGGTATACTTTTTGGGAAGAACGAATAGCCAGGGAGAGAGAGGAAGAGGGAGAATTCGTTAGAGGTTAACTCTGCGTTTCTCGGTTCGATAAACTGAAAGCGGAGACCCCGCAGCTTTGTAGGGTTACTCTATAAAACCTACAAAAAAAAATAAAACACGAAGGGAAAAAAGTATCAGGCTCGAGTATTTCGTGAAAGCTAAAAATATACAGCGGTGAAACTAGTTCGCGGAAAATGATTTCTAAGGAAAAACCGTAGGAACGTTCATCATGGAAACGCCTTTTATTTACGCCATAGTGTAACAAAGAGTGCATACGGTGTATCGGACGAATCCGAGAAGCCAGAGTCGAACCGAGTGCACCATCGTGGAACAGAAACCGGTCCAGTGCACATAAGATTGCACAGCGAGACACAGCCTCGTTTCGAAGTCCCTTGAGATCTAAAAGGAGGCGGTATACACGGTGGACGCATCGTGACAATTTACCCTTCCTCTCTTAAACAATGGAAAATCAAAACTTCCCAGAATGTAAGAATATGCCGCCTCTGTTTTATCGCGGAGGATGATGAACCTTCGACAACACGATCTTACGTAACGATCAACGTAATTCTATTGGAACAATCTTTAGTATTTTGCAGCTTTAAGATCTCTGTTTATAGAGTTGTCCTAGATTAGAATGAGGGAATTAATGTCCTAGGACAAGCTTGTATACAAGTTTGCCATTAATTAAGAGTTTACCAACCGTCTTTTATTCAGAGGGAATTTCAAACTCTGCATAAAAGCCAGAAGCCACTCATACTCAAGAGGTTCGGAACAAAAGAACTCGGAAGGGGAGAAAGAAACGGTTTGTACTCTTTTCTAGGGGAATCGATTCAATCGATTATTTCACGACTCCGAACACTATTAACCTATACTTGAATTTCAACCGCAATTAGCAAGTTGAGATTACGTTTCAATTTTTTAAACCAATGAAAAATCTTTTCGGAGTTTTAGTAAAGGAGCTGCGAGCAAATTGAAGGATGTCCCAATTCCGCTAATTTTCGAATCGTAATTCTATTAAGAATAGAATAGTATCTTTGTGAATAATGAATGAGAATGAAGAATTCAGATCGAACTTTAATAAGTCTTGTATTTCCAAAGAGGATAATAATAGCGAATAGACTTAATCTGGCTATATCGTATATTTATATACTTCCATTACGCTCCATGTCTCCAGAGGTGAATCATGGTGGACATACGATCCCGTAACATGATTTTGTACTTGGTCACACGACGAGGTTGCATCGAATATAAATTTCTCATTCGTGTTTCCGAGATTCGCTCGTTTTTCACATCCCGCCTCAATCGAGCGTGTAACAATTTCTGAGTTAAATCGATTACCGTTGCGATATAGGTTAGAAAGATTTTCTGCTGGGAAATGTGCCTTTGAAACGAATTTTCGAGCGAGAAAAAGTGCTCCATAATGAGTGACTTGCATCGCCGAGATGAGATCACCTCGAGTGAGTTGTCTTTTGCACTTAAATTTCTAACTAGCGCATCGTCAGCTGAAAGCAGCCGAGCCTCGAGGGGAATTGCACTTTATCAGATTTTTCCCTTCGTTTTACATGCAAGCTTTGGATTTATCCCTCGAATAGATTGCGACAACAAAGGCATCTCTCGCGAAACTTGTTAACGCAACTCGCCTGTCGTTCCGAGCTTAAACGCTGCGAGATCGGAGGACAGAATGACCCCCGTTGCTCGCTGCACAAGGCGACGATTATTTATCCCGCGCGCCGTAGAAAACGCGAGACGCTGGAACGATTCTCCGCAGAAGTTTCGAATATCCGTCGACGTTATTTTTAGCGGTCGCTGCGGTTGAATCGCATTTTTTCATCTCGTAATTTGTAATACAGATCTTCGCGTGTATATGGAAGAAGTTACCGCGGTACGTAATAGCGGAGAAAAATACGCTGGAAAAACGAGAGGGAGAGAATGGAAACGGAGAACAAACATGCCCGAGTTAAACTAAAAACCACGGAACCACGATATTTCATGAAACAAAATTTCATCTAATCCTCTTAAGAAAACAAATTCCTTGCTCATTCCGGCGTACCCTGGTTTCAACAGAATTTTCATTTTCGAGTTTTTACCTCGTCGGAGTTTTACTCTTTTTGAAAGGAGAACTTTTTTAAAGTACGATAGTTAAGCGTCGCTTAAATTAGTTGGAGCGCGCAGCGACCGTTTCGTTCCTCTCCTGGGATTCCATTGAAAATGCAAAGCATAGAGGACTGATATCGTAGACATAATGGAACCTTAAAGGTTGTCTGAATGGAGGTGTGCAGATGGCTTCCGTGATCGCGGAACACCTGTCGTATTCTTTTACAAAGGTGCAGATAATACGCGAACGACATTAAATCAACCGGTGCTAACGATTTTTGGAGCAGATGTTAACCGCGTTAAGACAGATGTTAACTATACGTTCAAATTAACCTCTGAAATACCGTTAATTATGATTACGTTAAAATTTTTAATGGTCTTCACTCGTTAAGATTAAAAAAAAATTTCAGGTTTGCGGGTATTTGAACTCGCGTTCAAAGGAGAACCCCGCATTGATAATCTACCGTCTAACCAACCACTCTACGGTCTCTCCTGTAAAAGATCTTATAATAGGGCAATTAAAGTGCATAATATAATTAATAGGTAAAATTTGAAGAAGTTAAGCAAAAAAATTAAACGATGAATTTAACGAATTATAACGAAGTTTTAACCTCCGGACCTTTCGTTTTCATAATTCACAAAAATGTTCATTAATCCCGATAACGAGATTAATATCGAATGTGATTAAAAAGAAGGGAACAGCATTCTCGCTCCGGAGCGTGAAAATATTCGAACTATTCCGTTGATTTCCCAGTGGAAAATCTGGCGTTATTTTTCCAGCGGAAGAGGAAGAAAAAGAATTGGTTCACGGGAAGGAACTCGAAATTTGAGTGTACGCTATCGATCGCGTTCTCCCGGTTATTCGATTTCGGAGACCTTAAAGAT